CACTGCCCTCTCAATTAATTTGCCCAAATAGGGCAAATTGGAGACCGGCCAGTAATTAGCCAATTCAGCTGGGTCCAGAGATGTTTTCTTTAAGAGTGGGTGGACCATTGCTTCCTTGAGTGCCCCCGGGAACAGTCTCTGTAAGAGGGACTTGTTGATAATTTCCCTCAGGGCACCTCGGAATCCCTCATGGCCCGCTTTAATGAGCCAGGAAGGGGACGGATTAAGGCTGCATGTGGTTGGGCACCAGGTCCGCTGCCTGACTGGAGGTCGTGTCATCAGCATGAACATTGAAATCACCCAGGACTATAAATTGGGTGCTCCAATGCCCAGCCTGATACAGCCTCCATAAGGGACGGTAGGCTACTGGCCGGTAATTTGGTTGATGGAAGGTAGGGAAGGTTTTGCCAGTCTCCTCCCGCAACTACAGATCCCCCTTGCCTTCCATGCTGTTTCTGAGTGTGTCTCAGGAGCAGAATTTCAGGGGGCTACAGTGGAAGAGGGGAGACAGAGAAGTCTCCATGGGCTTTGTCCCACTGATGGTGCTGAAGATCTAGCCCAGAGTTCCTTCAAACCTTCCTGAATTATGCTCCACTTCTAAGTTCTGACAGCTTTTACTGAGATGGTTGTCTCAGTTTTGATTGCTTGTCTGTAAAAAGCATGAATCACATTTTTATCTTCTCTGTTTGTTCTAATTCTTTACTTGAACCAACCCAGCATAATAGACTAGCAACTTTATGATTAGGATAGAAGATGGCCACAATAAATTGGCATGTTTTCTACCCACTTTCTACCTCCTTCTGTGATCTTTGTTTGGCTTTTTAGATAGTGTGACATGGTATGGTTCCATTCAGAGATAACATTTCCCAAACTGGGTAGAAAAGATCACAAAGAGCTTCTAGTGCAGACAATTTAGGAAGAATCTTTTTTTAATATTATTATTGGGGAAAATTACCACAAAAAAACAGAAGCTGATGGATGTAAAAAGGGAGAAGTAACAATGTAAACGATTTTGAACAAAAGGCAGACCTTAAAAGCTGAGAAAACATTAGTGGAGCAGACGAAACAATTACTAAGGGCATTTACTAAAATATTCCATAAGACGCATAGCAAAGCAACCAAAGAACAAGATCATGCTGTGGATGGCAAGAAGCACTGTTGTGTGGAAGAGGAAGGTTTTTTATTTTGAATGGCTTCATGAATGTGTAGATGAATACTTGAAAACACTTTGAAAACTAATTGAAAACTGCTCTGGAAGTTATAGAAGGATTATGTTATTTAGTATGTGCACAATCCCATGGGCTCCTATTAACAGTTGTAAAATGTACTCACATACCTGTCGCAGCAGTGGTGCATATGCTTATTTATTTATTTATTTCGATTTATAGCCCACCCTCCCCACAAAAGCGGGCTCAGGGCGGGTCACAGACAGGCATACGCCCGCACATAAAAACATTTTAAAAACATTATACAACATTACAAAATTACATATATAAAGTGCTCCAGATATTCCGCAAAGATGACGAACTTACTGCTGCTCTACTAGCTCAGTGTCCTCTGTTCCGGACAATGCCGGCGTTCTTTCTGCCAGGGCCAGATAATGATGGTACCGTAGTGGCGGCTCCTACTCAAACACCTGGCGGAAGAGCTCCGTCTTGCAGGCCCTGTGGAACTGCATTAGGTCCCGCAGGGCCCTGATCTCCTCTGGGAGCTCATTCCACCAGGTAGGAGCCACCACCGAAAAAGCCCTGGCCCTGGTAATGGCCAGCCTGGCCTCCTTCGGGCCTGGTATTGCCAGGAGATGTTTCGCACCCGACCGTAGTGCCCATGGGGGAACATATGGGGAAAGGCGGTCCCTTAGGTATGCTGGACCCCAACCATGTAGGGCTTTAAAGGTAAGAACCAGCACTTTGAAGTGGATCCGGTACACTATCGGCAGCCAGTGCAGCGCTTTCAGCACAGGCTGGATGTGGTCTCTTCTAGGAAGACTCATCAACAGCCTGGCTGCAGCATTCTGCACCAGCTGCAGCTTCCGGAATTGCGACAAAGGCAGCCCCATGTAGAGAGCGTTGCAGTAGTCTAGTCTTGAGGTGACCGTCGCATGGATCACTGTGGCCAGGTCGCTGCGGTCAAGGAAGGGAGCCAACTGCCGTGCCAGCCGAAGATGGTAAAAAGCTGACTTAGCAGTGGCTGCTACCTGGACCTCCATGGTTAACGAGGAGTCCAGGAGCACTCCCAAACTCCTAACCTCCAACGCTGGCACCAAAGGCACCCCATCAAAGGCCGGGAGAGGGAGCCCCAACCCCAGACCACCCAGGCCCAGGACCTCCGTCTTCGCCGGGTTTAACTTCAGTCGACTCAGCCGGAGCCAACCAGCCACAGCCTGCAACGCCCGGTGCAGATCTTCTGGACTAGAAGCCGACCGGCCGCCCAACATCAGATAGAGCTGGGTGTCATCTGCATATTGATGACACCCAAGCCCATAACTCCGGGCAATCTGGGCAAGGAGGCGCATATAGATGTTAAATAACATCAGGAAAAGAACAGCCCCATGGGGCACCCCACATTCAAGAGGGTGTCTCTGGGACTGTTGTTCCCCAATTGCCACCCTTTGTTCTCGACCCCCGAGAAAAGAGGCAAGCCATTGAAGGGCGAGCCCCTGAATCCCCACATCGGCGAGGCGGTGGGTCAGCAGCTGATGGTCGACCATATCGAATGCGGCCGACAGATCTAACAACAACAGCGCCACCACACCGCCTCGATCCAGATGCCGTCGGAGGTCGTCAGTAAGAGCGACCAGTACAGTCTCTGTACCATGCTCTGGGCGGAAGCCTGACTGGAAGGGATCCAGGACGGAAGCATCATCCAGAAAGCCCTGCAGCTGTGTCGCCACCGCCCTCTCAACAAGTTTGCCAAAATAGGGCAAATTGGACACCGGCTGATAGTTGGCCAATTCGGCCGGGTCCAAAGATGGTTTTTTCAAGAGAGGGCGGACCATCGCTTCCTTGAGTGCTTCAGGGAACCGTCCCTCCGAGAGGGACGTGTTGATAATTTCCCTGAGAGCACCTCGCAACCCCCCGTGGCCTGCTTTAATTAGCCAGGAGGGGCACGGATCTAGGTTGCATGTGGTTGGGCGCACAGATGCAAGCAATCTGTCCACTTCCTCCAGGCTGAGCAGACCGAAGCACTCTAAACCCGGCACCGAAGACGTGCAAGGGGCCTCAAGCTCGCTAACTGTCTCAACTGTGGCGGGGAGGTCACGGCGGAGCGCCAAGACTTTATCTGCGAAATAGCTCGCAAATGCCTCACAGCCGATATCCAATTCCCTAGCATTTTGCCTGCCCTATGGCAGAGCTGTTAACGACCGAATTGTTTTAAATAATTGGGCTGGGTGCGAGCTCGCAGATGCAATCCTGGTCACATAGAAACCTCTCTTTGCGGCCTTGACTGCCATCTCATAGGATCTCATAAACGTCCTA